GTGTTTTGAAGATAGAAGAAATGTCAGCATATTGAGAATGGATAGGAGAGAAGGGCAAACTGATGATCCAGCAGATGGAACAGCTGCTGAAGCCATCTGCTAGAGGGGCTAGGATCTGGTGCACAGGTGGAGGAGTTGGCCCGTAGTGGAGCATGGACAGCTTATCTTTAGTAGGAAGGGGGAAAGCAGAGTTTGTCAGGTGGGATGAGGTGTGCAAAAAGGGCATAGGGCTGGCATCCAAGGCTTATTCCTGTGAGGCCAGACATTCCACCACCCTGCAGCCTTTTTTACCATCAACCATCCTCCCAACACTCTATTTCTGTGCTGTCTTCAATAATTTGTTGCAATGGCCACATAGAACTCACAGACAATACTCATGATTATGGGGTTTATTAGGGAAGTAACAGGCTACAATTCAGGTTCTGAAATGCTCTCAGGATTTAATTCTTCAATCAGGACAGTCTCCTCTCAGCCATGCCCTCAGGCACACCTCTCTGGTTTGGCCTCTTGGCCTGGCCTCTGCCCTGTTCTGTGAAGTGTTACAAAGATCTTTTAGCTCTGTCAATAGGTACACCTAGGTGCCCCCCACTCCACCAGCAAGTCTCCTACCCAAAGGCACTCAGCTTTCTTTCTCCTTGGGCCAGGAAGCCCGCTGCTCTGTCTAGTGCCTCTTGGTTCCTCAGCCAGTTGTCTTAGCCGTCATTTTGGGAAGGAGGTCCAGCACAGGGATCTAGGGCACAAGGATGTGCTCCACTCCAACTCCAGTTCTTCTCTTTTGGTGGCAGTGAGATTACCCTTTCTGTCTCTAGGAAGGCTCATTTGAAGCTAGCAGGATGACAAAACTAAGCAATCCCCATGTTTGAGTTCCAGACACCTTGTTGTTGTTGTTGTTGTTATGTGCCGTGGAGTTGGACCTGACTCATAGCGACCACTCCTTGGGTTTCTGAGGCAGTATCACTACGGAAATAGATTGCCCAACCTTCCTTCTCAGGAGTGGCTGGTGGGTTTGAACTACCAGCCATCTGGTTAGCAGTTAAGTGCTTTAGGCACTATGCTACACCTTATTTGCATGTAATCTGGTGGGAGTCACAAAGACTGGTTAGAAAAGTCATACCAAGTAATTCACTGCACCACAAGGTGGTAGTGTTAGTCTGTGGAAGTTCTCTTTTGATGGCTTCTGTTTACTCACTGAAATGAAAGGCAAGGTCTTCTGCTCAGAGTAAGCATGGGAGAAAGCATACGCTAGAAGTTTGAGGGAGAAAAGATGTGAAATTGTTGATTAGAGGAGTGGGAAAGTGAATAGACATAGGAATATAGGGCATTTCCACTTAAAGCAGTGGTTCTGGACCCTCTCCCCAGAAAAAAAGGTACATACCCATCCAGGTCTACAACTTGGGACCCAGCTCCAGAAGCCCCAGCCATAACCGTGAAACTATCAGTAGCAGCTTACCTTCTACTTAACATGGCAGACTCATCTCTGTGAAGTCACTCTCTACACAAGAGTGCAGATCCCACCCTGGATTCTAGGTTGGCTTTGTGAAATATTGATCTGAGATTCTCATGTGGCCTGGGGCTTCTTGTTCAAGACCTAGACATGCTCTAGTTTATTTATTTATTTTTCTATTGTGATTTGGGTGAAAGTTTACAGAGCAAATTGGCTTTCCATTCAACAATCCATACACATTCCGTTTTGTGACATTTACTCCAGTCCCCATACTGTAACAGCATTCTTCCCATTTCTTCCCTGTGCCCACCCCTTCCCTTTGTTCTTCTTTGCCATTCCCTCCTGCCTTCCCAGCTCTATCCCTGGGCAAATCCCTCTTGATTTCATATGCTTGAATGCACAGAGAGCGCTGGTGGTGTAGTGCCTAAGGCATTTGACTGCTAACCAGAAGACTGATGGGTTCAAATCCACCAGCTACTCCTTGAAAGGAAGGTTGGGCAATCTACTTCCATAGTGTTACCACCTCGGAAACCCAAGGAGGGGTCGCTATGAGCCAGATCCAACTCCACAGCAGTGAGTTTGGTTTGGTTTTTGAATGCCTACCCTCCTATTACTGTTCACTTTATAGGGCGTCTAATGTTTGGCTGGGAGCTCTGGTACCATAGTGCCTAAGGCACTTGACTGCTAACCAGAAGGTTGGCGGTTCAAACCCACCAGCCATTCCTCAGAAGGAAGGTTGGGCAATCCTACTTCCGTAGTGATACTGCCTCGGAAACCCAAGGAGGGGTTGCTATGAGTCGGGGCCGACTCGACGGCAAGTAACAACAACAACAACAACGTTTGGCTAAAAGTTGAGTCACAGGGGTTAAGTGTAGTTCCTAGCTTGAAGGGTGTCTAAGGGTCGTAGTCCAGATTCCATCAGTCTTTATCAGACCAGTGAGCCTAGTCTTTTTATGATTTTGGGTTTTATTCTACATTTTCCCCCACTGTATCTGAGACCTCCTATTGTGATACCTTTCAGAGCTGTTAGCAATGGTAGCCAGGCACCATCTAGTTCTTCTGGTCTCAGCGTCATGGAAGCTGGGGTTCACATGGTCCATTAGTCCTTTGGACTGATTGTTTCCTTGCATCTTTGATTCTCTTCACTCTTCTTTGCTCCAGATTATGAAAGGCCAATAGTTGCAGACATGCTGTAGTTTCCTTAGCACCCTGGGCTATGTGGGTGGTGTGGCAGTGGCTGCTCTAGCCTGTTTTAAATTGCTTCTCTTGGTCCCAGTCAGAGGCACCTCCTCAGGTTCCTGCTGAGGATGCATAACCTCTCAGTGCCCCTGGCCCATTGTCAGACAAGGTGGCTTATGCCTTGGTCTTCTGGGCTCTGACTTTTGCTGGGAACCATAAAAACTCTTGATTGTCCTCATGGACAGGATTGGTGGCCTAGAAAATACCAAAAGGTTGATAGCCTCTGAAATAAGCTTCCTTTTCTCTTGATCTGCATGGGGCAATATTATTGGCCAGTGGTCCCTAACCTTTGTGGCATTCCAGAGCCCAATGTAAGAGTAGCCAGCAGGCCAGTCTCCAACCAACCTCCTTGTCTATCTGTTTTGCACATTGAACCTCTATGGAAGAGTCATTTGAAGAAAGGATTCCCTGGCTTAAAACAAAGATGACAGAAGAGTTTGAAAGTCAGTTCTTTGGGCACATACAGAGGAGCTGCCTGGTAGGAGCTGTGGGAGGTCACAGAGTATGTTCTGGGACACAGACAAGCTGGGGCCACACAAATGCTACTGATGGTGACTAGAAGCCAGACATGCTTCAATCATGAGGGGACTTTATTTGAGATCACTCTTCTCATGAACATGTTTTGAGCAGGCTCAGGATAGAGTCATTTGCTCAAGGTCACAAAGCTAAAAAAGGACAAGGTCTTAGTTATTCCCACTGGGTCTTGTGTTCTGGGAGGCAGAGGTGTGGTCTGCTTTGCTCACACTAACATAGGTCCCCTGGCCTGCCTGCAGAACCCTTCTCTGCTGCCCTTTTGGGCCATCCAGCCAGATCTCTTTTCCCTAAAGCGTTGGTGCCTCTGATAGAACCCATTCCCCAAGACCCTTCAGCCTGTCACTCAGGGGCCCTGGTAGAGGCTGACCCCAAGTGGGCCATCCAGCTTGGTTGCCCCTAATGTCCACTTATGTCCACTCCCACCTAGCCCTCAGTTTGAGGAAGGACTGGGAGACCAGGCCGAGTCGACTTGTCCTGGCCATTGAATGGGCACAGAGAGCTGTTGTCTCCGTAGTTGTTTTTAATTGGAAACGCAAGCCCTGGTGCCAAATTCAAAAGGTACAAAAGAGTATTCAGAGAAAAGCAAGGCTCCAGCCTGAAGACAAGCCTGTTTGCTGTGACTCATATCTTTCTCTGCAAGTATCTAAATATCCAAAAAGAACTTAATCTTGAATGGGGAAATATTCATGGTATATAATGTGAAATGAAAGATAGCAGCATACGGAATTGTTTCAATTCCTAGCTCCAATGCTTCTTTCCTATAGTGACACTGGGCAAGTTGCTTACGGTATCTTAGCCTCAGTGCCTTCATCTATAAAGCTAGGCTGATAGGAACCCCTGCCTCAAAGAGGAGTGGTCAAGACTAGGTAAACTTCTTAGCATGCTGGCTTTGTACTCAGTAAGTGTTAGCTGCTTAAAAAAATTAACTAAATTTAAAAACTACACTTTATATCCATTTTTAAAAAGAGTAGAAGGAAAGACACTAAAAAACAGTGGGTGAGTGAATGGGGGGAATATGGAGACTTACTTTATACATTTCTGTTTTCCAAGTTATCTACAATGAATTTATTTTCTTTTTATAATCATAAAAAGTACGATACACTTAATTTTTTGGAGGACATACTCAGAACTCATTTCCTAAAGGTCTGAGTTAGCTGGGTCCTGGCAAGGGACATTTTCCTGTATTTATTTATTTTTAAAAGATTTCTGCTTTTTATGGAACATGTTACAAAAGGGGTTTAATCAAAAAGATGAAAGCCCACATCATCATCAATAAACTGCTCACATTCTCCTTTCTTTGCTTCTACTTTCTTCTCCTCAGGTGGGGCAGTAGTGGTGGAGGGGGCAGGTCCTCCTGTGGGCACAGTGCCAGCTGCTGGGGCAGGTCCACCAGCCCCTACATTGCAGATGAGGTTCCTGATGTTGACGTTAACCAGGGCTTCTGCAAACAAGCCAGGCCAGAAAGGTTCAACATTTATAGCAGCTGCTTTAATAAGGACATCAATCTTATCCTCCATGACAGGCACACTACTTGTGAGCCAAGCAGATGTGGGTGAATTCAGAGAGGAAGGCCATGGGCTGGGAGTGCTGGGTTGGTGGCTGCTGGGTATGGTGCTAGTTACTGGATGAAGTGAGGGCCTCACCCCACTGTGGCCTTAGCTTCCTTAGAACGAAACAGTTTAGTGGGAGCTGAGGAAAGGGTCTATTTCCTATATTTACTGTTGTTAAATAGCAGTAACCCTTGCAAGAGCACACCCTTATGCTCCCCCTCCATGATGACTTTCTTTGTCCCATAGGAGAGCCCAAGGGATGGCTGCTGACATGCAAAGGAAGAGAAGCAGCGAATACCCGGATGGCACCTTGGCTCCTTCTGATGGGCAGAGTGTGGAGAGAGCTGAGAGCCCCACACCAGGACTGGCCCAGGGAATGGAACCAGGTATGGCAGGGTGTGCAGCCACAGCCAGCTGACAGCTAGAGCAGCCACAGGGGAATGGGATTCCCGGCCACTCTTTTCCTCACACTCATTCATGCATTTGTTCGTTCATTCATTGGATATTTGCCAGGTGCTAGAGATACCAGCCACTCCTCGGAAGGAAGATGGGGCAATCTACTTCCGTAGTGATACTGCCTCAGAAACCCAAGGAGGGAGGGTTCGCTATGAGTCGGGGCCAACTTGACAGCACATAACAACAACAACAGAGCTACTGCAGGGAGCGGGGCTCAATCTGTGCGCCACCTTCCTTGCTACCTCATGTCGTGCCACTTGCCCTGTTTTGTCTGGCTGCTCATGTGAGCTCCCCTGTTCCCTGTGTCTACAGGACACCTCCTGGGCTCCTTCCCACCTTACCCCTACCTCTGCCCCTCAGCTCTCAGCTTAAATGTCACCTTCTCGTAAGTTAGGGCTTGCTCTGACCACTCTCTGCAAAGGGCACTTGAGTTATTTTGTACTTTTCTTTGTTGGCACATGTACTGCCCATCTCTCACTTCCAAAAGATTGTGAGGTCTTTGAACACAGGGCAATTATATCCCCAGTGTCTGGCACATTGCAGATACTATAATAAACCAAACCAAACCAAACTCACTGCCATCAAGTTGAATCCGACTCATAGCTACCCCTCCTTGGGTTTCTAAGCAGTATCTCTATGGAAGTAGATTGCCCAGTTTTCCTTCCAAGGAGTGGCTGGTGGTTTTGAAGATGTTATAATAGAGGCTCGAAAATACATCCGTTGAACTATTGTGTCAGAAAAATCAGTAAAGGACAATTGATATGGTCTCTGCCATGGGGGAGGAGCTCTGGTAGCATAGTACCTAAGGTACTTGACTGCTAACCAGAAGGCTGGCGGTTCAAACTCACCAGCCACTCCTCGGGAGGAAGGTTGGGCAATCTGCTTCTGTAGTGATACAGCTTCGGAAACCCAAGGAGGGGTTGCTATGAGTTGGGTCTGACTCGATGGCACATAACAACAACAACTGCCCTGGGGGAGCTATTACAATAGAATTGGTTAGGAGCTGTGGCCTGAGTTGCGTGAAGGAGGCTTCCCACAGAGAAAGTGATTCACTTACTGAGCACAGTGCTGGGCACACAGTAGTGAACAACCAGGTTCCTGCCCTTGGGGAGGATCCCAGTGTAGCTGGGGAGAATCACTGGTAAGTGCCACAAGAAATATCAAAGAGGGAAATACGATAAAGTACCTGGGATTGGAAGTCAGATGAGGTAGTAACATCTGAGTTTAGAGCTGAAGTGTAACAAGGACCCAGTCACCTTAAAAAGCAGGTGAGACAGCCTTTTAAGCAGAGGGAGCAACAGGTACGGAGGCCCTGAAGTGGGACACATTGAAGGTGTTTGAGGAAGATGAAGGCCTTGGATGGGCTGTGAGATGGGAGTGTGAAAGGCAGGCAGATCCAGCTGTCACCACCACCAGGAGGAATTTGGGTCTTATTCCCAGTGTGATGTGAGAATAGTGGGCTAAAAGTTGCATGACCTGTGGCAGAAAATGGCAGGAGAACACAGTGACTTTGCCCCAGCAGGACAGTCGAGCAAGCTGGAGTGGCCATGTGAGGCACCTTACTGGTGAGGGGGTCTGCTAGCAGCTTCCCTTCTAAGCACCAGTGCTTCTATCTGCAGGTGCTGGGCAGGAAGGTGCCATGTTCGTCCATGCCCGTTCCTATGAGGACCTGACTGAGTCTGAGGATGGACAGGCATCTGCGGAGAGCCCCAAGGAAGGTGCTGGTCCCCCACCACTTCCTGCAGATATGCGCCAGATCAGCCAGGACTTCAGTGAGCTAAGCACCCAGCTAACGGGTGTGGCCCGTGACCTGCAGGAGGAGATGCTGCCCGGAAGCTCTGAGGACTGGTCAGAGCCCCCGGGGGCAACTGGGCGAACAGCCACAGAGCCCCCCCGGGAGGGTGCAGCTGAGGGGGATGAGGAGGATGCTACCGAGGCATGGCGCCTGCACCAGAAGCACGTCTTTGTGCTGAGCGAGGCGGGGAAGCCCGTGTATTCCCGCTATGGGTCAGAGGAGGCACTTTCCAGCACCATGGGTGTCATGGTGGCTCTAGTGTCCTTTCTGGAGGCAGACAAGAATGCCATACGCTCCATCCATGCAGGTGAGCTACCTGGGGAGGGGACCAGTGAGGGCTTCCTTGGCCAGGGTTAACAATATAACAAGCTTTGGACCTCCATGGACTAAAGGGCTGGGATGTGTATGATCAAGGGCAAGTCCCTCCACCTCTCAGAGCCTCAAGGTTCTCACCTGTAGGGACATAACACTGCCTGTCTCATGAAGCTGTTGTGAGGGCCAAAGGTGGCTCTGAAATGGGCTTTGTCCTTGGAAAGGGACTCTCCTGGTAGGGGGCAAAATATCCCAGGTTCTGAGCTCCACCCAACCCTTGCCAGTTGATATAGCCCTCAGGAGGGGCAAGCAGGGAGCCAAAAATGTGTGTTTCAGAGTGCCTTCTTGTTTCAGGGGGAGCCAGTCTAGGAAACAAATGGAGGGACAGGCCCGAGGCCCTCAGGGAAATGAGGCAGTGGGCTACTGTTTTTATCATCATCATCCTTAAGCCCTACTATGGGCAGAGCTCTGAACCATGATGGAGAGGATGTAGGAGGTATCAGGATGTGAAGAAAGGCGGGCTATGAGCAGGGCCAATCCAACAGGGCTTTTCAGAGTTTAAGACTGACATCTCTCCCCTACACCCTCAGATGGCTACAAGGTGGTATTCGTGCGCAGGAGCCCACTGGTGCTGGTAGCAGTGGCGCGCACGCGGCAGTCGGCTCAGGAGCTGGCTCAGGAGCTGCTCTACATCTACTACCAGATCCTGAGTCTTCTCACCGGTGCGCAACTGAACCACATCTTCCAGCAGAAGCAGAACTATGACCTGCGGCGCCTGCTTTCGGGCTCGGAGCGCATCACTGACAACCTGCTACAGCTCATGGCACGCGACCCTAGCTTCCTGATGGGGGCGGCGCGCTGTCTGCCCTTGGCGGCAGCCGTGCGGGATGTAGTGAGTGCCAGCTTGCAGCAGGCGCGGGTACGCAGCCTCGTGTTCTCCATCCTATTGGCGCGCAACCAGCTTGTGGCTCTTGTCCGCCGCAAGGACCAATTCCTGCACCCCATCGATCTGCACTTACTCTTCAACCTCATCAGTTCCTCCTCCTCTTTCCGCGAGGGTGAGGCCTGGACACCTGTGTGCCTCCCCAAATTCAACGCTGCAGGCTTCTTCCATGCACACATCTCTTACCTGGAGCCTGATACTGATCTCTGCTTGCTACTAGTCTCCACCGACCGTGAGGACTTCTTTGCTGTCTCTGACTGCCGTCGCCGCTTTCAGGAGCGCCTGCGCAAGCGCGGTGCCCACCTGGCCCTGCGGGAGGCATTGCGCACGCCTTACTACAGCGTGGCCCAAGTGGGCGTTCCAGACCTTCGGCACTTCCTCTATAAGTCAAAGAGCTCGGGACTGTTTACCAGGTGAGGGAGGGCCTGGGGTACTGGTTGAGGGAGGCAGGAACATAGGATGGAAGGGATCTAGTTGGGTCTGAGTGTGTGTGTGTGTGGGGGGGGGGGGCAGACTTGAAGCTGACGCCCCTTTGGGAATGGGCCAGCATGCTGGATCTATTTTGTTCTGGCCCCAGGGACCCAGACTCCCCATCACCTCCCCAGATTCCCCATCACCTCTCTAGGTCATTACCCAGAAGGCCTGGAAAAATGTCCAGTATACCCAGGAAGGACTAGAATGATCTCCTGGGTCCCTTGCCCTGGAGCAACTTTTCCTTAGGCCTCATTTTAGTCCAGCCCAGGATGCAGAGCTTCTCCCCCACCTCCTCCCTTGACAGAGGGGCTGGGGTCAGGTGTGGTACTTTCTCCTCCTTTTACCCTCTTTTGGCTCAGAGGGTTTCCAGTTTACCTTTCCTCCATTTCAGACTTGTGACTGTCAGTCTCTTTCACCTAAGTTCAGACTGACTTCTCCAAACGAAAGTCATCAAAGACACCATGAACTCGGGAGGGTGGGCATCTGGAGAGTAGGACACATGTAGAGTCTCCCTGGCTGGAATTAGCTGTCTCTAGAGCGCCAGAGAAGGCAGTAGAAGTCATCCATTTGCAAACTGCCCTCCCATCTGCAGCCCTGAGATTGAAGCCCCGTACACAAGTGAAGAAGAGCAAGAGCGGCTGCTGGGCCTCTACCAGTACTTGCACAGCCGTGCCCACAATGCCTCCCGCCCACTCAAGACCATCTACTACACAGGACCCAACGAGAACCTCCTGGCCTGGGTAAGGCAGCCCTGGGCTAGGCTGGGCTTCACTGGGGTTCTAGGGAGGGGCCATGAGGAACCACCAGCCTAGATGACCACCCTTTGCCCCCTCTCCAGGTGACAGGAGCCTTTGAGCTCTACATGTGCTACAGCCCCCTGGGGACCAAGGCGTCAGCCGTCAGTGCCATCCATAAGTTAATGCGATGGATCCGCAAAGAGGAAGACCGCCTCTTCATCCTCACGCCCCTCACCTACTGATGGGAATGTGTGTAGGCTCAGACTTCCCGGGCCCATTGGGGCATGGGAAGCCATGGGAGCCTCCTGGTGGGGCTAACCTTTTCTTACCCAGCCAGCAGGCAGGGACTGTGGGTTGGTGTGTGCATTAAAATGCTTTGGGGAAGACATTTGTTAAGCCCTGTCACTTGTGTGCTTCAGCCAGCCACTGTCGTTCACACTCACAAAGACTGGATCCTCCCCGTTAGCCTCTGCACATCTTCTCCATTCATAGGGGCAGATGCACACTCGGGCCCCCTACTCCTCCTCCCTCCCTGCACTGGTGTTAGGCCAGAGATGCTCAGAATTTGGCCTTGGGCTGGGACTGTTTTGGCTCCACTGAAACCCTGCCACATGTAAAGGGTTCTCAGGTACCCCACTGACTTTGCCTCCCACAGCTGCACCCTATACTCAATATGAGCCTCTGGTGCCTCTACTCTCATTTCTGGGTAGAGCCCAACCACTCTGGGAGCCCTGGCCATACAGCCACTTGTAGTTCAGCAGGAACTGACCTGAGTGAGACAGGGACAGTCAGGGTGGTGGAATCTGAGCATGGGTGGGAATCCTTGGCAAGGCAGCTAGTGCTCAGCAGACTGAAACCACAGGCCTCTGGGGAACTGTCCTTGCTTAGGCCCTCCTGTGAAGGGCTGTCCTTAGCTCCCCTACCTCCAACCAGCACATTCCCTGGGATGGCCCTTAGAATAAGCTAGAGATCTAAGAGAAAGTCCAGCTGACCTCAAGGCAGGAGTGGACCCTGCCCTAAAAAGGGCTGGATCTTCTATGTACTCCTAGGCACCTCCTCTTCATCCTGTTCCCTGACATGGTGAGGTCTGTGTGGAGCACCATGAGTATCCCAGGTGAAGGCCTGGCCCTGTCCATCCTGCCATGAGCCTGTGCCTTGCTGCTCGAGAGCTTTCCCAGCTCTTCCACAACTTAATCATCTCATTGGCCAGTGGTAGTGAAAGGCCTAGAAAGTATCGATAAGAGAAAACTGTCCACTGAATGTGGTCTTCAAATACTGTCAGAAGGAGTCACCCTTATGAAGTCTGTAAGAGCTGGGTCAAGGTGTTTGCCATTAAAACCAACCCAGATTGGAGAATGGGCCTGGATGGGCAGCATGGGCTAAGAGAGCACTGGAATGGTTCTACTTACTGTTCCAGGAAATGGTAGCATAGCTCCTGCCCTGAATCACACACAAACAAGCATGATACCAGACCACCCACCTAGACCCCAAGATCCCTGGGAAGCAGCCTCAGGCTTGGTGGATGCTGATCATCTTGTATATTTGCCCTGTGTCTCTTTTATGTCCTATATTGAAGACTCTGTTCCTCTTCTTAAAGAGCTCTGGTGGCATAGTGCCTAAGGCATTTGACTGCTAACCAGAAGTTTGGTGGTTCAAACCCACCAGCCACTCCACAGAAGGAAGACTGGATAGTTTACTTCTGTAAAGATTTACTGCCTTGGAAACCCATAGGGGATCCCTATGTGTCAGAATCAACTTGATGGCAGTGAGGTTTTTTTTTTTTTTTTTTTTTCCTGGTCCTCCTCTTGGCCCTGGCCAGGGCACCAAACCACTGCCTTTGAGGCCAGGATAATGCCAGGTTACTTGTCTCTGACAGCGACTGGTGTTCTGGTGAGTAATCAGCCACTAAGTGCCCTGCTAGTTTCCCTTACCTCTGTAGGATTCTCAGCTTCTCTGTAGGTCAGCACCTGTTCTGGGTAGGGGCAATATAGGGGCTCATAGATGAGCACAACGGGTCACTTAGGAGCACGGGGTTACCTGTTTGGAGGTCAGGGGAGGGGTGATGGGGAAATAGAAAAGATTCTGCAGTAAAGAACCTAGTATAACTGATTTACAATGAAGCTGGAGGAGTCTGCAAGGTCTGGGGTCTGGGATTCCAGGTAAATCTGACAGTGGGAAACCATGGAAAGTTTTAAAGCTGTGGAATGATGCAGTCATACTGTGGCTAGAAAGATTCTCCCTGGACTGCAACTAAGATCTCTTTGGGTTGGAAAAAGAGTCTGGACCTAGTCCTCAGTAGTGTCCATCCGGGAATGAGAACTTAAGGAGGACGAGGTGGGTGGCTAGCCTTCCCTCAAGGTTGCAGTTGGGCAGGTGCTGAGCCTACTGGCAATAGGCCAGGTCTGTTGAGTTCGCCTTGGAGGAGCATCTGCTCTTGGCACTTCAGGGCCCCATTAACTTTCCTTCCTCACACAGCTTGCTTACTTCCCTGCAGCTGAGCAGGCAGATGAGGAGGAAGGGGCGCTCCTGTGAATCTCTGCTGTGGAGCTTGAGAGCTGCCGACGCCAAGAGCGCTCGGTCTGAGGTCAGCCATCAGCATGGCCACACGGGGGCAGTAGAGGACCAACTGATAGTTGCTGCACCCTTGTCCCGTAAATGGGGTGGGCGGGGCGATCTAGGCGGGCTGGGGAAGCCTCGCCCCAACCCGTACAAGTCTCTTGGAACAGGCTGGGTGGAGGTCACGGGGAACCTAGGTCCTAGCGCTATTCAGAGAATGTTTCTTTTCAATTTCGCACTGCGTGACTATCTTTAGGCATGTTGATAGTGGAGCGCAGGAACCGCGCCCTGGTTTTCGCTGGATGTTTATTCATTTCCGGGCCAATTCTGATTCAGGAAGGGAGCGCCTTTTACGTTGATTCGGAGGCGGTATCCTCCTTGCACTGGGTGTGGTCGCTCCGTGCTGTTTTCTGTTTCACCAGGTGTTCAGTGTGGAGGTTGGGGACAAGGGTGAGGGCAGAGCCAAGTGTCCTAATGAACTATGCCAGGGTGGGTGTATAGCACGGAGGCTGTGAGACTCAGGAAAGGGGCCTGACGCACCCTGGGTCAGGAAGGCTTCCTGGAGGAGGTGTCATCCAAAGGGCAAGCGGGAGAAGGGAAAGTATTTACGGACGGAGGAACAGCGTTTACAAAGGCAAGAGGAACCCTGGCTGCGCAATGATTAAGCGCTTGGCTGCTAACAATAAAGGCAGTTCAAACACCCAGCTGCTTTCCTGGTGATATGCTCCTGTAAAGATTACAGCCTAGAAAACCCTATGGGGCAGTTTCACTCTGTCTCATGGGATCACTGTGAGTCAAAATTGATTCAAGGCACCTAACAACAACACAATAGGTTGTATTACACCAAAGACATAGGCACCTGGAGCTAGGCAGGAGGAAGCTGGGGGGATGGAGGAGATACAGCTTATTATCCAGGCTGAATCCTGCTGGGTAAGGGCTCCTCCCTTCCCCACATCTCACCCCATCCCCACCCTTGGGACCCAAGTTCACAAGTTTCCCCTCCCTCCAGGGTCTGTGAACAGCTGGCTGAGGGGCTGTCAGGCTGAAGATGTCTCCCAGAGCCCTCCTCCAGTGTTGGAGGGCAGTTATCACGAGGTAGCTGCTAAGGTCCACATGTGGGAAATGGTGAAAGTACAGACACACACACACATGAGGGAGAGCTGTAGGCAGTCACCTAGCCAGAACTACATCCTCATGTCACAAATTGAGAGATTGAGGCCTGGCAAAACTTCAGAAAAGGTTAGAGGAGCCCTGAGAGCCAGTGCCCATGTTACTTCCATATCAGGAATGCGCTGTCGTGGAAGGAGGAGGAGGGACCTCCAGGAAGCTGGCATTGTGAGTTTTGTTATTCCTGCAGCTTCCATAACTGAGGCAGCAGCCCAGGGACCAGAGCCAGGGCTGGGCCTCTACATGTTGTTGTTATGTGCCAGTCGAGTCAGACCTGACTCATAGCGACCCCTCCTTGGGTTTCCAGGGCAGTATCACTACAGAAGTAGATTGCCCAACCTTCCTTCAGAGGAGTGGCTGGTGGGTTTGAACCACCAGCCTTCTGGTTAGCAGTCAAGTGCCTTAGGCACTACGCTACCAGAGCTCTACATAGGCTGCCTTTTTCCCAGCTCTGGTATCCAGCCAGTAGTCTGTGCCCTCATTCTATGATCCCCTACCACTCAGGGCAGGCAGGGAGCAACACACTACCCTCTGACACCATGCTGGCACTCACAGCCCATGGTAGGCCCACAGGAAAATGGACCTGCCCCATAAACAGTGGTTGGTGCCAAACACAATGGCCTGTTGGGGTCCACTCAGTCTTCCCTCTCATCTTCCACAAATCCCTGGTCTCTGTTCCCCACACAAGTGGCCTTCTCAGGCCCCAGGCCATCTGTGTAAAGTTGGAAGTGTTGTTATAAACTGGCTCCATAAAAAGAAATGAGCCAGGTTGTCCCTTCATCCTGCTTACCTCTCCCTGGGCCACCTCACACATACACACCCATAGGCCGTTGAGAAAAAGGCGCCCATGCGGGAAGGTGCAAGACCCATGCTTCAGAAGGCGGGGAGAGTCGGGTGGGCGGAGGAGTTGGGCTCCGGCCAGACTTTCAACACGGTCTTGTCCCCAGCCCCGCCCCACACTCTGGTCCCGCCTTCCAGGCCCCAAGCCCTGGGTAAACTTTGCTCTGAGTGTGGGTCTGAAGCTGCAACGGGAGTGGCAGGTGAGGCTGTTGCTCATTCCCTTCTCTGTCCTCCGGGCCAAGGTCTCAGACCCGACATCAGGAGCTGGTAGAGGGCTTCACAGGAGCCGCGGGCAGGGGGTGGCTGCCCGGGGGCTCTAAGGGCAGGCATTGGTCAGTGGCCCCAGGCTGTCTCCACTCTGCTTCCAGCCCGGCCTGCGCCTACACGGATCTTTACGGGGCCTCAGCTTGGCCTCGATGGCGCTCCACCAGCGGCCATCGCCGCAGCCCTTCCTATTTTTGGTGTTGCTGCTGCTGCTGCTGTCGCCGCCGCCGCCGACGACGACAACAACGATACCCGCTGTAAGCCAGTGCCAGAGCGCCAGGCAGTGCTCGCGAATCCCCTACGCTGCCTCGCGTGACTTTGACGTGGAGTACTCTGTGCCCAGCTTCTCTGCCAGCAGCCGGGTACAGGCTGTGGCGAGCTACGAGGACGAGGACAGGAGTGCCATATTCGTAGCCACACGCAACCGCCTGCACGTGCTGGGTCCCAAGCTGCAGCTTATCCAGAGTGTTGTTATGGGTCCCGCCGGGGATCCTGGCTGCCAGACGTGCTCAGCCTGTGGCCTGGATCCCCACGGCCCGCTGCGCGACACAGACATGCAGGTGCTAGTGCTGGACCCGGCGCTGCCCGCGCTGGTCAGCTGCGGCTCAAACCTACTGGGCCGCTGCTTCCTGCATGAGCTGGAGCTTGGCGAGGAGACCACGCGCCTGGCGCCGCCAGCCTGTCTCTTCTCTGCCGAACACAACCGTCCCGAGCACTGCCCCGACTGCGTGGCCAGCCCGCTAGGCACCCGCGTGACTGTGGTCGAGCAGGGCCAGGCCTCCTACTTCTACGTGGCGTCGTCACTGGACGCGGCCGTGGCCGCCAGTTTCAGCCCACACTCAGTGTCAATCAGGCGCCTCAAGGCCGACGCCTCCGGATTCGCACCAGACTTTGTGGCGCTGTCAGTGTTACCCGCGCACCTCTCCTCCTACCGTATAGAATACGTGTACAGCTTCCGCTCAGGAGTCTTCGTTTATTTCCTGACAGTGCAGCCCGCCAGCGTGAAGGCCGCTCCCGGTGTCCTGCATACGCGTCTAGCTCGGCTCAGCGCTACTGAGGTAGAGCTGGGTGACTATCGCGAGCTGGTTCTCGATTGCCGTTTTGAGCCTAAACGCCGACGTCGCATGGCTCCCAAGGGCGGACAGCCCTATCCAGTGCTGCTGGCAGCCCACACAGCTCCTGTAGGCGCCAAACTGGCCTTTGAGCTGAGCATCACCGAGGGCCAGGACGTGCTATTCGGGGTCTTCACAGGGAGCAGGGACCGTGGTCCCCGCGAGGACCCAAACTCTGTCGTATGTGCCTTCCCCATTGACTTGCTTGATACCCTCATCGAGCAGGGTGTGGAAAGCTGCTGCCAGCCTCCTGTCCATCCTGGTCTCCGGAGAGGCCTCGACTTCTTCCAGCTGCCCAGCTTTTGCCCTAACCCGGTAAGCAGAACAAAGACCCTCACTTCTGAGCAGCATGCACATGGTTGGATTCAGGCTGCTTCCTTTCCTTCCATGAGAGAGTCTGGAAGGAATGCAAGGGAGGAGAAGCCTTCCCTTTCACTCAATTCCTTGGTGCTCGGGGTGATGTGGGCATCAGTCAGAGGGCACACCAAACCAGGCTAGCCCCCTGTTTCTGCCCTATCTTGCTCTTTGATCCTCTCATCCATCATGGCCTCTGAATTTTTTAGGTAGTTTCCCATGTTATTTGAAGATTGGATTGCATCATAACTGTCTATGTCAGACACAGCTCAAAAACTGAGTAGAATGATAGGCATCCCTTCCCACTCCCCTGGCCACTTACTGACCACACACACCTTCAGAGACATACACACCCAGAAAAACAGCCCTTTATATACTACATTCTCTATAGGGGACACAAAACCCCACAGGAAAACAGCCCCCTACACACACACAAATAAGACATACACACACACAGAGATGCTCAAAGACTCACACGTACTCATGCAGCTGCTCAGTTTCGTTTTCCCAATGGGAGCATTTTTTTTTTCTTGCTCCATTTTCCAAAGAGGGTGGGGCAAAAGTTGTCAGAGAGTACACCCTCCTCCCCAACAAACCCAGTCAGATTCTGGGAAGCCTCTTGAGGCTGAAGAGGCTCACTGTAGGCTTATGCAGTGGATGAGCAGAGGCCTGGCCAGGGCTGGTTAGAATTGGTCCACCAGGCAGGAATTCCAAGATGTTTTTCTACTATAGTTGAGGCTCTGTCCCAGCAAAAGGCTACTAGATGGGGAGGCCTCAGGCTGGGGCTTCTTCCAGCGGACTATACCTATGTTCTCTCCAGCATGGTGTTAGGTAATTGAAACAGAAACAAACTTAAAATACTATCCAGAGGACAAAAGCAAAACTGATCCCTTGAAACGGTTGGGATAGTTCCACCCAAGATTATAAGAGATTAAACAAAGGAAATGGGATGAATGGAGCATTGGACAAGTAGCTGTCAAAATTTTTGGCAGTCCTGTGGCTTTGGCCATGCTGTCACTTTCTCAACTGACTCCTTTCCAGCTTCTACTAGTGTTCCAGAAGTAGGCAGAAAGCTTACACCTGGGGTTAGGGGTGTCCTTCAGTCTCCTTCCCTCATCTGAGTCCATCTGGATTGAGGAAGCCCTGGTGGTGGGGACCCTTGTCTGGGCCTCCTGCCTGCGCTCTACTTATTCTCTCTGGAAAGTCAGAACCTTTCCCTAACTTGGCTAGTGGTCAGTGGGTCAGTAAACACTCAGCACGACAGGGTAGTGCCAGGCTCCAGGAGGACTGATCTCAGGCCCTGCCCAGTCTGGGAGGTGTGTGAATCAATAGTCTTTGTCCAGTGATTCTGGGCAGCAGCCAGCATGTTGGTTGGATGGTCTTAGAGCTCCCTCCATGGGTTTGGGTAGGGTGCCAGTCTAGGGGAGTCATGTTCCCACTCCCCCTCCAAAGTAGGGCATTGGGCATTTAAGTCAAGTATTTTCAGGAACTAGAGGCCCTTAGACAAGCCTGGGAACTCAGGCCTAGGGGCAAGCAGGCAAGGGTGTGGCCTCTTTTCTACCACCCCACCTGTCCCTGAGTCATGCTGAAAACACCTAACTGGCTTCTGGGCGAGACCCCTCACCAACCTCAAGTAAGGACAGAGTCCCAGTCCCCACCCACCCACCTAGGTTACCGGCCTGGTGTGCAGGCGTCTCTGGACCTAGCTCTGTACCTGCCCGCACTCCCACAGGTTCTGATCAGCACTGAGGGCTCAGGATTGGATCAAGCCTGCTTGGTCTTATGGGGGCCTGAGACGTCCAGCTTTAAGGAGTGCTCTTGGGGCTGGTAAGAAAGGGGCCAAGCACCTGAGGCTGCTGCGGCCTGACTATACCTCTTTGTTTTCAATTCTGATTCATGGCGACCCCATGTGTGTGGAGTAGAAATGCTTCATTAGGTTTTCAAGGCTTTGACCTTTTAGAAGATCACCAGGCTTCCCTTCCAAGTTGCCTCTGGGCGGGTTCAAAGCACCAGTCTTTCAGCTAGTACTTGATCTTGTGTGTCACCCAGGGACTAACTATACTTGTATCTCTCTGTCCAGCTCTAATACCTGGCACTCATAGCCTCACTCCCTAGTTTTCCAGAAGCTTCCACAGTCCTGGCCTAGTGCACTGGGTTCAGCCTCTAACTATCCCCCTGGTAAGATCAGGGAAGGGGTTAGTATCTCTTTGTACCCAGGTCCTTGGGTCTCCATTTATCTCTTTTGTACCCTGAAGGAGGTACAGGGAGTGGCATGATGTTCAGGAAGACCTTTGAAGTCTCAGGGAGAGGGACATGGTTACCAGCTGGTGCTGGCCAATTCGCCCAGCTTGTGCAGGTGGGGAAATTGAAGCCTAGCAAAGGGATAGGTTTGCTGATGTGCACATGGAGAGCCAGCAGAGAGTTCAGACTTTGGACCTGGCTCCCCTCCTAAGGGGCTCTAAGGGCTTGGGCAAGTGACCAAACTCCTGTGAGCCTGTTTCCTCAACTGTAAAATGGGAGTGGTGAGAGCACCCACTCTCTAAAGGGTGATTTTTTTTCCACTGTTTATTTTTATTGTGATTTGGATGAAAGTTTACAGAGCAAATTAATTTTCCATACAGCATCTCATACACACTTTGTTTCATGACATTGACTGCAATTTCCTACAATGTAACAGCTTTCTTCCCACTTCCTCCCTGTGTCCTTTCCTATGCATTTCTGCCCCCAGAGCTATCTCTGTGCAAATACTGCCCTTCTATTCTCCCATGATTAATCATTCTAAGGAGTGTATCTACCTGATGTAAATGTTCACCCTATATGCCTGTCTCTTGTTTGGCTGGAAGCCACAAGAATGAGTTCAGTTCCAGACCTGAAGGGTAACTAGGGGCCGTAGTCTCAGGGGTCTCACCAGGCTCTATCAGACCAGTAAGCCTGGTCTTGTTTATGATTTTGAGTTTTGTTCCACATTGTTTTCCCACTCTATCCAGGATCTCATGCATTGATCCCTTTCTGAATGGTTGACAGTGGTATCTAGTTCTTCTGGCCTCATGGTCATAGAGGCCAAGGTTCGCATCGTCCACTAGTCCCTTGGACTAATTGTTTCCATGTGTCTTTGGTCTTCTTCATTCTTCTTTGCTCTGGATGAGGAGAGATCCATTGTTGCATCTAGATGATTGCTTGCAAGTTTTTAAGACCCCAGTCACTACTCACCGAAGTAGGATGTAGAGCGATGTTTTTATGTAGTATGTTATGCCAGCTGAGCTTGATGTCCCCTCTACAGGGTGATTTTGAGGACAGAATGGGGTTCGGTCTGTAAGACTCAGTAACATTATCAGAATAGATAAGGCAAGATAAGGGATGTGGGGGACATACCCCTGCTCCCTCCAAGAACCCTGAATATGGGGAGGTGGATGGCAGGTTTTGGACCTTCTCATCAGGACAAGTAAGAGGTAAGAGTCTTGGGCTGCTGTGGTCACTGACGGAGGCCCCAAGGAGTCAGTGTGTGGGGCTGACCTTTGACCCCTTTCTTGGCCCTCCCTAGCCTGGCCTGGTGGCCCCCAGCCCCAACATCAGCTGCCGTCACTTCCCTCTACTGGTCAGCAGCAGCTTTTCACGTGTGGACTTATTCAACGGGCTGCTGGGAACCGTGCAGGTTACTGCACTACATGTAACACGCCTGGCCAATATCACAGTGGCCCATATGGGCACAGCTGATGGGCGCATCCTGCAGGTGAGTCTCTCATCTCCACACCTCCCTAGGTCCATGTCCCCATCCCCATTCCTATCCCCATTTTGCTCACAGCTGAACTGTCCCAGGTGGAGTTGGCCAGATCTCTCAACTACTTGCTGTACGTGTCCAACTTCTCCCTGGGCAGCAATGGGAAGCCCGTGCAGCGGGATGTCAGTCGCTTTGGGGATCACCTGCTCTTTGCCTCTGAGGACAAGGTAAGGTTGGCCAGGGTCAGGGGCTGGTGCCAGGGCTGTGGGAATATAGCCTTCCCATCCAAACCAGGTAAGCATTGATATACCCAGGTTCTACCACCCTGACTTGGAATGAGACTGAGAAATCTATGAGGTCTAGACCCCTCACCCCAGCTACCCCTGAGCTACCCATCTACGCCCCCCAAGGTCTTCCAGGTACCCATCCAGGGCCCTGGCTGCCGCCATTTCCTCACCTGTGGGCGTTGCCTACTGGCTCAGCGCTTCATGGGCTGTGGCTGGTGTGGGGACATATGTGGCCGGCAGAAGGAGTGTCCCAGCTCTTGGCAACAGGATCACTGCCCACCTGAACTCACTGAGGTATGACTTCCCTCATACAGATAGGGATGGAACTAGGCAGGCCTAGATGAGGGTTAGCAAGTCTTGACTATGATCTTCCTCAAGCCTGGAGTATCTTCATTATCTATAAGGAAGGCATTCTTGGTAGAGGGGATGGCACATGCAAATACTTGGAAGTGGGAAAGTGCTTGAGTGTTTGAGGACTAATAAGTGACCAGAGTGGTTAGAGTGTGGCATGGGCAAGGAGTTTGGCAGGAAACTTCAGGGCAAGCAGACAGGGCTGAGAGAGTCCACACAGGGGCTCAGGTGATCTGTCTTTCCCTTCAGTTCCACCCCCACAGTGGGCCCCTGAAGGGCAACACAAGGCTGACCCTGTGTGGCTCCAATTTCAAACTGCACCCTGCTGACTTGGTGCTTGAGGGCACCCATCAGGTCACTGTGGGCCAAAGTCCCTGCCGGCTGCTGCCCAAGGCCACCTCAAAGCTCAGGTACAATCTGGATCCTGTCCTATTCCTGCTGGGGCACTCAGGCAACCCCTTCCCTCTGAGACCCTGGCCTGTGCTTATCTGGCATAAGGGAGTAAGAAGCAAGCTGCAGACCCATAGTGGCTCTGGCTACTGTGTCTGGGGAGGATCACTACCTTCTGAGCCTGCATGAGCCTCTGTTGAGTCATGGACCGGGCAAAGTTATTCCCTGCCCCATTAGATCCTGCCTACCCTGGAAAAGGGCATGGGAGACATCATCCTTGGGCTCAGAGGAGGTCTGTGACTTGTGGCAAGTATGCAGCCACGTCTGTGTGACCCCCAGCTGACCTCAGGGGTTCCCTATGCCCCAGACCAGTGTCCCAGAAAGACTTTATAGATAAGCTTGAGTGTGAGCTGGAGCCCTCAGGCATGCAGGCAGCCGGGCCTGCCAACATCAGCCTCACTGTGACCAACGTGACAACAGGCAATCGCTTCTGGGTAGATGGCACCTCTATGTTGCAAGGCTTCTCTTTCATGGTGAGACCACTTTGCCCCGTCTATGTCTTTGGCTGTTTGGGAAATACAGCAGGGAAGGGCATGGAAAAGAGGACCTATTCCAGCTAAGCTACCTCTATTCCTTCTTAGGAGCCAGTGCTGAGAACTGTGCAGCCCTTGTTTGGCCCACAGGCAGGGGGCACCCTCCTCACCCTCAAAGGTCAGGATCTGTGTATAGGTACCAGTCGGGCTGTGCTGGTCAATGGGACTGAGTGCCTGCTGAAACAGTAAGTGCCAGCAGACAAGGGGATAGGAGGCTAAGGGACCATAATCAGGGGACCCTCATCGGTGGGAACCTTGATCCCTGTCAAGGTGAAGGGAGGAGGGCCCAGACACTGCAATTGTGGGAAATGTGTCCATGAAGAAGGGTCTGCTGCCTGTTCCAGCCCAGAGGCAGCTTGTTCCCAGCACATGTACTAGCATGGGTTGGCAAGAAGGCCCATTGCAAAGTCCATGGGTTCCAGCCAAGGCTGTGGAGAACCTGTTCCCTGCCTGCCTCTTGGCACTCTATTGGTGTCACTCTGTCTTCAAAGACAGACAAACCAATTGGGCAGGTGTGGGAGGTGACCAATAGAGGAACTGAGAGGGATGGGCAGGCCCCTGCAGGAGATGGGCCTGGCTACTACACAGGGCTGCCCCTGAGCCCAATCCCCATTCTGCAGGGTCAGTGAGGGGCAGCTTCTATGTATCACACCCCCAGGGGCTGCCACGGCCAGAGTTCCCCTTCACCTGCAGGTGGGGGGTGCTGAGGTGCCTGGCTCCTGGACTTTCTACTACCAGGAAGACCCCGTTGTATTGGGCATCAACCCCAACTGTGGCTACACGTAAGTGCCACCTACCTGCTTACCCTGAGGGGTGAGGGAACCAACTTCTGAAAGCTCCCCAAACCTACTGCCCTGCTCTCCCTTACAGTGGCTCCCATGTCACCATCCGTGGCCAGCACCTGACTTCAGCATGGCACCTTGTGTTATCATTCCACGATGGGCTTGGGGCAGTGGAGAACAGGGTGAGTGGATGCTAGCAGTACAGAGTAGGCACTGGGCAGGAGGGAGGAAGGCCAGACTAGTCCCTTGAGTTCCTGCTCCACCCTTTGCTGGGCTGAGGAGACTGGGGCAGTCATAGGTGAGGCGACTGGCTAACCACTGTCCTGTGGGCTTTGGCAGTGTGAAGGGCAGCTCCCGGAGGAACAGAAGTGCTACTTGCCTGGATACGTGGTTCGAGGCTCACAGGAGTGGGTGACAGGGAACCTGAGTGTCCAGGGGGATGGAGCTAATGGCTTCACACTGCCTGGTTTTCGCTTCCTGCCCCCACCCCATCTGCCCAAAGCTGACTTGGGTCCACTGAAGCCTGAAGAACATACCATTAAGTTCCAGGTAGGTGTGGTAGATGGTTAAGGGGTAAGCATCAGGGGGTGTTAGGACAGAAGCTTCACAGGCAGGGGTTACTGGTAATTCTCTTGATCATCTCTACAGTATATTGGGCTGGCCTCTGTGGCTGACTGTGTGAGTGTGAACGTGACCGTGGGTGGTAAGAGCTGCCAGCACGAGCTCCGGGGGGATGTGGTCATCTGCCCCTTGCCCCCCTCCCTGGAACTTGGCAAGAGTGGTGCCTTGTTGCAGGTAGGCAGCACAGCTGGCCTTTCACAGGGAACTTGGGTATGACAAAAGCCTGGAGGCCTGACCTGAGCTGTCACCTGCTCCCAGGTCTGCGTGGATAGCGTATGTCATAACCTGGGCAAGGTGATGAGGCTAGGCCCAGAGGGGCTCCCACAAGGCATACTGCTTGGTGTCCTGCTGGTCCTGCTCCTGCTTGTGGCTGCGCTAGTCATCACTCTGGTCTTCAAGTACTGGCGGCGGAAGAAGCAGCTAGGTGAGCCTCCCGCCCTCACCCTGACTCCACCCCTGCCACCAAACGATGGCATTTCTGAGTCCCTACACCCTCACTCTGCCTGGGCTTTCGGTGTCTGCTCACACTTTGTGGGTGGGAGTGAGCTCCAAGGGGCTTCAAGAGTCTGGAACCATCCTTCCATAGTCCTTCCTCCCAACCTGGATGACCTGGAGTTCCTGGACCAGACCTCTGGAGCCATCCCTCTGCCTCTGCTCCGCTCAGGCTCTGACTACAGAAATAATCTTGGTGAGATGGTAGAGGTGCTAGAAGCTGGGGTCATCCCCTCTGCCCTCCAAGCCCCTCACTCCCTCTTTTCTACAGAATACCCTGCCATTGGGAGTCTGGACCCCATCACCCAAGGCACATCCTTCTCAGACAACAAGGATGGGTCTGGTGTCCCATTGCTCCAGACAAAGTCCATCCAACTCAGGGACCTAGACTCTAAGCTCCTGGCTGAAGTCAAGGATGTTCTGATACCCCATGAGCGAGTGGTCACCCACAGTGACCAAATCATTGGCAGAGGTGTGGGGGCTAGAGTGGGCTGGGTTGGGCTGGGCAGAGCAGAGATGGAATCTAAGGTGACATAGGCTCAAGGGACAATTGGGCTAGCCTCTGCTGTGGTCTTCTCACCAACCTGTGTAATCATGGTCATAATGTCTAACCTCTCTGAGTCTCCTTTTGCTTAGCTTTGAAATAGGGATTAGGACAGTTCTGTCTTTAGTGGGTTCTGGTATGGATTAAGTAAGTGGGTGTGGGAAGCCTGTAGGCTCCTCCATCGTATGGCTGCTTCCTGTTTTTAATGTTGCATTGGCCAGAGGACTGGTTGCCAGTGAAAGGTTATGGTGCGAGTCTTGTGGGCTGGGAGCCTTCTCACTACCTCTCCCATCACCAGGTCACTTTGGAGTTGTCTACCATGGAGAATACACAGACCAGGCCCAGAATCGAATACACTGTGCCATAAAGTCACTGAGTCGTAAGTGGGCCAGGGCTGAGAAGTCACAGGGAGGAGCCCTAGGCTGGGAGTGTCCTCATCCCTGCTGTACCAACACCTTGCTGAGTGACCCTGAACAGGAGACCTTTCCTCTCCATTGTCCTATCTGACCCTTGTAAGGGGCCTCCCTGTTCTGGGCCTGACTCAAGCTGCTATGCAGGCATCACAGAGATACAGGAGGTGGAGGCCTTCCTGCGCGAAGGGCTGCTCATGAGCGGCCTACACCATCCAAATGTGTTGGCTCTTATCGGTATCGTTCTGCCACCTGAGGGATTGCCCCGTGTGCTGCTGCCCTATATGTGCCATGGAGATTTGCGCCAGTTCATTCGCTCACCCCAGCGGGTCAGTGTTCAGCTGGCCCTGGGTTGGGGGTCTTGGGCAACAGCTGGGGATAGAGTTGCTCTGGCCTTGCCCAACAACCCACCTCCTGTATCCCTAGAACCCCACGGTGAAGGACCTCATTGGATTTGGCCTGCAGGTAGCCCGTGGTATGGAGTACCTGGCAGAGCAGAAGTTTGTGCACAGGGACCTGGCTGCTAGAAACTGCATGTGAGGAACACTTGGGGTAAACCAAAGGGGCAGGGCACCAAGGTACACAGCTGCCCAAGGGCATCTCAGGGAAAGGCCCACTCTAGCCCTTGCTGTGTAGCCCTGGGCATGCCCCTTCCCTCCATCTCTAGGCCTCAGTTTTCCTGTCTGCCCAGTACAGGCTTGGATTGGACACTCTAGCTGTGAAAACTGTGAGGGCCTGGAGCAGGTGGGTTCAGGGCCCAATGTGGGCCAGTCTTGAGTATGATACCCCTCCCAGGCTGGACAAGTCATTCACAGTCAAGGTGGCTGACTTTGGTCTGACCCGTGGCGTCTTGGACAAGGAGTACTACAGTGTTCAGCAGCACCGCCACGCTCGCCTTCCTGTCAAATGGATGGCACTGGAGAGCTTACAGACCTACAAGTTCACCACCAAGTCTGATGTGGTGAGGCCCCTCCTGCCCTAGAGTTCACATGGTCTCAGTGCCCTGGAAGACCACTCAACCTTGCTCATTCAGCTCCTAATGATGATCTGAGTCCAAGGAATCCTCAGGCTGAGAGACTCCCACAGCCCATTTGCCCACTTGTTGTGCAGGCATAAGATGGAACCTACCTCTTGCCAGGGCAAGAAGAGGCTGTGAACTCATTGGCTTCTCATGGGCAATCTAGCGCCTGCCCAGCCCCAACTCAGTTTTTTCCTCTGAAAAGTGATCCAACACTGAGGGGGTGGGAGGAGACAGAGGGAAGATACGTGTGAGCTATTGCATGTGCTGAGTATGGAAGGTGGGGTGCCCCATATTTACCTCTGGGAGATAGAGATCATGGGGCCCACCTGCCCCAAAATTTAGGATAGGAGTTGAGTCCTTGTATCTTCCTTCCCTGCAGTGGTCATTTGGCGTGCTGCTGTGGGAGTTGCTAACACGGGGTGCACCACCATACCCTCACATCGACCCCTTTGACCTTACCTACTTTCTGGCCCAGGGTCGGCGCCTGCCCCAGCCTGAGTATTGCCCTGATACCCTGTGAGTATGAGGAGGGAGTGGCTGGCTAGGAGAAAGAGTTTCTCGTCAGGTTCTTTGCCCAGCCTTCTCTTTGACACAGGCAGGGACTCTCTCTGTGCCTCAGGTTCCTCAGCTGTGAACTGCTGATTCCCATTCCCGTTCAAGAAGGCAGGGCGCTGTGAGGCCATCATGGTTGCCATGGTAACAGCATTCCCAACTCAGAGTTGGGTTGAGGCCAGTGATTTGATTTCTCAGTACTCCTCTACCCTCACCGCTGCCAAGGAGGACTGTTTCCTATCATTTCCACCCAACTTCAAGGAAGGCTTCCATCGGCTCCCACACCAGCCACCTCAGTGTCTCCAGATCAAGTTTTTTTTCCCACTGGATGGAGTTTCAGATTCCCTGTTCCTGGAGGGATGGCAGCTGCTATGTTGTTATAAGTTCCCCAGGTGGATTTGGTGCTGAGGTTCAGTTTCATAAGTAGGATTCAGGCCTCAGCTGTGCCCAGGTCTGTGCTGTTAGAAGAAGGAGAAGCAGGTCATAGATAAAAGTAGTTGATGACTTCTGTCTCAAGCTGAGCTCCAGAAGGGTGTGAGTACCCCTTCCTCAACAGCTCTGCCTGCCTTGGTTTGATCTTTATAATTCACTTCATTAATGCATCTGGTTTGAAGTAAGAGAAATTAACTTCACTGCCTACCTGTGTCCAGCTTAGGCCCCCTGAAATGGACTCTGAGACAGAGACTTGGTGTGGGAGCTGGTGTGGAAGTTTATTGGTAGGTTATGGGTGGTGCAAGCGGTTTGCAATTGACTGCTAGCTAAAAGGTTGATGGTTCAAACCCACCCAGTGGCTCCACGGAACAAAAGGCCTAGCAATCTGTTCCCATAAAGATTCTAAAACCAAAAACCAAACCTAGTGCTATCAAGGGAGCTCTGGTGGCACGTAGCGCCCAAGGCATTTGGCTACTAACCAGAAGCCTAGAGGTTCAAACCCACCAGCTGCTCCTCGGAAGGAAGATGGAGCAATCTACTTCGTTAGAGATACTGCCTCAGAAACCTAAGGAGGGGTTGCTATGAGTCAGATCCAACTCAATAGCAGTGAGTTAGAGTTTTAGTTAGTGCCATCAACTTGATTCCAACTCATAGTATCCCCCAAAGGGTTTCCAAGGCTGTAAATCTTTATGGAAGCAGACTACCTTGTCTCCTGTGAAGCAGCTGAAGGGTTTGAACCACGGACCTTTTAGTTAGCAGCCCAATGCCTTACCTATAGCACCACAAACCAAGAATACCCAGTGGAGCAGTTCTACTCTGTAACACACAGGGTCTCCATGAGCCAGGGCCAATTCAATGACAGCTAACAACAATAGGGGCAAGGGAAGCAGGACTGAGCAGAGGGCAAAACTGGGATATCATGCAGATGTAATAGAGGCTGAAGCCCATCTTATGAAGATTTCTTGAGCTGGGGTGGCCCTTCAGAGTTTTCCAAAATTGAGGCCAAGGGGCAGGTGTTTATATCAAGCATCAGTCATTGACCATGGCTGCCCCTAGGGAGTGGGTATGAGCTTCAAGACGAAATTCCCTTCTCTCTAGGACAGTCTCCAGAGAGGGCCTCAGCCAAGAGCTGTTAGAAGGCAACACTCCCAGTCACTGGGAGAAGGAGAAGGGAAATCTGGGTGGCATAACAGCATCCATTTCACCAGGGGAAGTCCTTTTCTCTCTCTGGGTCTCAATTTCATCTGCAAAGGGAGGATAGTAACAGTGCCATCTCAGAAAGTCTGAGAATTATATGAGACACTATATGCCACTCCTCGGAAGGAAGGTTGGGCAATCCTACTTCCGTAGTGATACTGCCTCGGAAACCCAAGGAGGGGTCGCTATGATTCGGGGCCGACTCGACGGCAAATAACAACAACAACAACATATGTAGGGAACCTAGAATGTCATTTAAGGCAGGGATGACATCCCCAAGATAATAGGGTATGCATTAGAACCCACTGGACAAACTCAGAAGCTCTGCTTGGGAACCATAGAACCACTGATGCTGCCCCAGAGGCTTAGCTCAGGACTTTTAACCCCCATTTCACCTGATCCAGGCTTCCTTGCTAAAAGATGCATAATGATAACCATGCTAACATGTGAACTAGGCCTTGTGCTAAGCATTTCATAGTACCTGTGTGATCAGAGGAAAACCAAGAGGCACAGAGAGGTTAAGGAATTTGCTCAAGATCACACAGCCCTGGCCGCAGGGATCATGAGCCAAGCTCTTAACCCCTTAAACCACTTCTTCTTAGTTAATTCGACCTCCATTAGGATGGAAAGGCACAACTAGAACAGCAATCATAGTGATGAGCAGAGTTGCCTTTGACTGGGTGATGCTGAGCACCAGGCCCTATCACCTGTCCTCAATGCTATTTTCTGAGCCAAGGGTTTAGTAGTGGATGGACAGCCAGGAGGAAGCCTTGGCTAAGGAGTTCCCCTGTCTTTGATGCCCTCTGTCCCCCTGCAGGTATGAAGTGATGCAGCGCTGCTGGGCCACGGAGCCAGGGGCACGACCTACCTTTGAGGTGCTGGTGCGGGAAGTGGAGTCTGTGGCATCCACACTGCGTGGGGACCATTACGTGCAGTTGTCTGCAGCCTATATGAACGTGGGTCCCGGTGCTGCAGACTGGGTGAACCCACCCGTGGAACAGCTACCTCCAGCATGTAGGAGCACAGGGCGGCCCCAGCCCCTCTCAGAGCCACCTCAACCCACATGACTGTAGCTCTAGGCTCCTGGGACACAGACCTGCCTAGTGGCTTTGACCTAACCCCAAGCTAACCCTGGGTCATGTCAAGCCAGAAAGACACCCCAGTCAGCCTTGCCCTGTCCCTGCGACTTAACCCTCAGGGCGTGAGCAGGGTACATTTGGCCTCTCACTCCACAGAGGAAGCACATAAGGATGATCCTTCCTGCAGCACATATTTATGAAGTCCTGCTGTGTGCCTGGCCCTCTGGATGCAGGGGATTCAACTGATGCAGCAGTGACCACACACACTGACTTTAGAACAAATAAATGAACAAATGGATATTTCAGCACAAATTGTGGTAAATATTATGATAGCAAGGAGCTCTGGTGGGGCTGTGGTTAATACATTGGCCTGCTCACCAAAAGACCAAGTTCTTTCACCAGGGCAAGTCCTTTCCTCTCTCGAGGTCTCAGTTTCATCTGCAAAGGGAGGATAGTAACAGTACCATCTCAGAAAGTCTGAGAATTACATGAGACACTACACGTAGGGAATGTCACTCCATGGGAGAAAGGTGAGGCAGTCTTTCCATAAAGGTTTATAGCCTTGTAAACTCTATGAGGCAGTTCTATTCTGTCCTATAGGGTCACTATGAGTAGGCATCAACTCAATGGCAGTGGGTGGGTGGGTTATAAAAGAAAAAGACAGGAAGCTACTTTGAGGAATGGAGGGCTGCCTTAGATAGCAAGGTGAGTGAAGCTTCCTCAGGGAGGCCTGAAGGGTGGGGAAGAACCAGCAGGCTGAGAGGTGGGGGAGAGAGTTTTTGGGCAGAGTGAGCAGCACAAGTAATGACCCTGAGGCTAAAAAGAGATTGGGTTGTCAAGAAGGCTTCAGAGAGCAAGAGGTGGGGGCAAGGCTCAGAATCCAGGATACAGGGCCCCAGAGGCTGTTGGATGGGACCAAGGGGGTGAGTGGAATACTGCGCATGCTGCAGCCTAGCTCTCCTACTCCTGTTCCCTTTCCCCAGATCATAGTCCCTCTGCAGGGCTCCCTGCTCCACCTGCAGTCCTTCCTCATACACAAACACACACATACACACACACACTGTCAGGGCATGCAGACTTGTCCGCCCCCCCCCCCCCCCCACCAACTCTGCCTTTGCAGCCTTGAGAGAGACAGAGCCAACAGTGAGGCCTCAGTTCCACACTTTCAAGGTGCCAACTGCAAGGTGCCGACTGCCCGGACTATTTATACTTGCCAAGGCCACTGCACAATAGCTGTGGGGGGGGGGCAGGCTCCACTGGAGGAAGAAGGCAGCTTCTCCTTCTCACTGCCCCCACCCCCAGCACCTTTGATGCTGGGAGAGGAGCAGCGGGGCTCTGCCAGTGCAGATATCTGGGGTGCCAGGTGCCTGGGCCTAGGTTATGGATCATGGTATCTCTTTTCCCTTGCTCAGGAGTCCTGTGGCACTCCTTCTATCATTTGGGAGACGCCAGCTCACCCTAAGGGGAGAAGGCTCTATCTCTTAGCCCTGTACCACTGTCACACATGGACTAGTGGGGTTGAGGCAAGGGTTCACTGGTGAGCTGAGTGGGGGTCTCCTTGAGACTAAAGCTGTCCAACTGTTCTTCATCCATGCTGGCTGCCCACTCTGACATCTCAGGCTAGAGAGAGGTACAACACTGGGAACTTTAAGGCTCCTAAGGTCAGGTGGGTGAAGCTTAAAATGGTAGTTTCCTGCCTGAGGACAGGGGTCTAAAAACCAGAGAGGTCTGTGAGCTGGAGTGGGGCAGAGATGGTCTACCCACCTTGTCACCATGTACCCCTGATGCCCACTCAGTGTAGGTGTAGAGGAGGCTGTGGCCCTGAAGACTTGGCCATTGCCCCCTTGTCCCTGTGTGTGGGGTGGGGGCAGTTGAGGCTGGGAGAGATGAGTGGAGTGTCCTAGAACACCCCATACAACCATGGCCCCCATACCAGTTGAAAAGGACTACATACAGCTCCTCCACCTTGCAATCCAAACCCACCAGGGCTTCTCTGAAGTTGGACTATGACTCTTTCCCCACTAAGGCTCTGTGACTCATGGACCACTGGCTCATCTGTTCACAAAAATGAGGCTTAGAGAGGAAGGGGGTCTCTGGATGGGAGGGGAGCTTAGAGAGGGGCCCCAGAGAGGGCAGAGGAACTCAGAGGGAGAGAGCTCAGCAGGGTGTCACTTGTCCTGTACAGCCAGAATGTGGGGCTTTGGACCTGTTTCTGGGTCGAGGGCCTCCAGGGCCAGGACTCTCCAGGGAGGGGTCCCAGTTAAGCAGGCTTCTGGGCTCCTGGATCATGGTACAGTTGCCTTCCCACCCCCCACCCCACCCCTGCCACACACACACACCCACTGACTGCTGAGGCCCCCGAGCTCTCAGCTCCAGTCTCAGAGCTGCCTGATGGTCCCAAGCCTACCTGGAGTGTCAGGAGCTGGAACTATGTCAGAGTTTCAAATTTTTGACAGGACTACTAGGGAGAACAGGAAGGGAAGGGTAGTTTCAGGACCCCAAGTGGAGTGTCTGAGGGAAGCAAAAGATTCCTGGGTGGCTTCCTGAGCTGGTGAAGGCTAGGCCACCCCTTCCAGAGGGAGGTCTGGGTAGTCACTCAGTCATGGTGAGCAGCCAGTGCAAGGGGAAGGTTCTTGGCAGCTGTGGTAGACCTGGGCCTGCCAGGGATGGGGTGAGTGGAGGGTTCTTCCAGGGATTTAGCAGTCTGACCTTCCCACCATGAGCTGAGGAGAGTAGATGCCAGCTCCTCTGCCTTGTCTCGCTCCTTCACAGCCAAGACAAGCAGGTAGGGGCCAGGTTGGGAACTGGGGCCTAGGAAGCACCAAATGACTCACACCCTCCTGATTGCCCATTGGTGTTACTGTTGTCTGGCACCTGGAGGGCACACATGGAACAGACTAACTTGCTTTGATGAGGGACTATGAATTTGGCCTGAGATTCCCTTTATATTTCAGCCCGTCTTTGAGGCAATTTTCCCAGGGATCCAAAGACTTTCTTGGTGGGAGGACACACCTGAGGGCTCTAGATAGAGCCCATTCCAAACTCTGGCTCCTTCATGGGACAGTGACCTCACCAGCCATTCCATTAGCATAGCCCATTTCATGACCTCACTCCCTTTACCTGCAGGAGAGGGCAGGCCCTGGTGCCTGCTGGGAAGGAAAGGGCAGAAGGTGCTGCTGGAAATGGTAGAGGCTTAGAGAGGCCTGGACTGCATCTTTTGCACTGACTGCCTCTGCCTGGGAGAAGCAGCCCCAGGAGTCAGTAATTGAGCCATAAGCCTCCATCTGCCAGTCTGTGACACATGAAAAACACCTTTTATCCACTCTGGGCTGGAGAACTCCCCTCCACGAAGAATCTAGGAGCTGAGCATCTCTTTACCCAGAATCTCTGTTCTGCTCATGTGAGTCCAACCACCTGAGATGTGGCTCATTGGCCTGGAGGATTGGAGATGACTCTGTGAACACCCTCAACATTCCACATCCAGGCCAACAAGGCCAGCTAAGCCTCAGTCTCTCCCTCCACTCCCTTTTGGGATTTGTATTAGCTGTCTGTGTTTTTAGCCCAATGAGTACAGATGCCAGGAGAGCCCGGGCAGTGGCCATGTTCACCTCTGGCTGCAGTGGCTCCCTGAGCGGGTTGGGTTCTTGTATAAAGATGATGACCTAGAGTCCAGCCCTCATACTTGGTCCACCTCTGGTGGGAGTCCCTGGCCCAAAACTAGGTAGCAGGTGCCCAGTGGGTGGCAAAGCCTGCCTGATCCAGTTCAGTTCATAGGTGTGGCAATTGGATCCCAACCACCTTACACCACCATCAAAAACAACAGTTTTTCCTGAATGCCTATTCTCATTAGTCAACTTTGGACAGGAATTCAAATTGCTAGCCTCTCTGTAGGGAGAAGTAGCTCTGCTCTTTGCCTCACCAAAGCCTTTTCATCTTGCTGTCTGATCCTTCAGTGCCCTGAGCATCCTCTGCCCCTGGTCCCAGGATTTCATGCCAGACCTATCAGGAACTATAGAGCTGCCCTGGGGAGAGAAGCAACAAGAACATTCAGAATAGCTTGGGCAGAGAGAAAGCAGGGGCCAGACCAGAGTGGCAGCTGCATCTCTCCTCTCCTCTTGGCAGGATAAGGACCCCAGCACCAGATTTGTGTCCCTCCATAATCCCCTGTCCCCCTACTAACTGTCCTCCTCCCATCTGACAGCCTTGGCCTTGGAAAGGAAGCAGAAGTTCTAATGGCCCTGATGGCCTGTCTTTGCTGGGCAGGTGGCAGGAGAGTCCTAGTATTTGGCCCTTACCAGTCCCACTGTTGCTCCATGGGAGCTCAAAGCCAGGCCCATGGCAGTTCCTATTTTGAGCTCTGGTGGTAGAAGCTTATAGAAAGTGCTGAATCCCTAGTGGGGCTCAGAGTGGTAGCAGCGGAGGGGCTGGTGTGCACTAGAGACTCCCAATGCCAGGGGCAACCTCGCCTCCTCTCCTCTGCTCGCTGTCAGGTTGGTTCAGCTCCCTGCACCCTTGTGGTATCTTGTACTGGGTACTTGGGGTCTGAAGGATGCATCAAGGAAGGCAGGGTTCAAAGCAGCTGCTGACCACGATCACAGCCTCAGCTTCTAAATCAGTACTCACTCCCTCATGCCCCAAGCCCCTTCTGGGATGTTGAACTGGACTGTGGGGACTTGGAGGCCCCAAAGGAATCAGCTCCACACCTGGACTCCATGGCAGTGACAGGTTCAGCCAAGCATCCATCAGTCCTGCTGACATGTGGGGGACACCCCTTTTCAAAGGGGAAAAGGAAGGAGTCATTTGGGCAGCTCTAGTCACATTGTCCATGTGAGCTTAAAGTCAGCCTGCCACCAACTGGACCTGGGTCCTGCAGGACCCTGAGGGAGGGCAGCACTCCACACATCCCCTTTGCAGGTGTGGTTGGAGGTCTCTGCT